ATCGTCATCCACCTTTATAACCCTCAGTCAGTGTAGGGGTTGATAAGCTATGTATCCTAGAGCCAACAGGGACATCTACGTTGACAAAAGCCTCTTACAGTAGATGTCACGACTCTATCTCTTTGCCAGACCCCGTTGATACCAAACTGCTAACAGCAAGCCAGCCCACAGCGAACCAGCATACAGATGCCTTGCCTATGGTTCTATTTTGCATTCCGTCAGTACAGGTAGTTTTTCAACGGCGTAAATGTGTAATATGATCCCTCGAGCTTTCGCGATCTGTTTTCCCTGACGAGCGATCACCTAATGGTGGAGAGAGTGTTGGATTCAAATGGTTTGGCATAATCTAAAGCAGCAACGTGTAATGGTATGTAAAAATGCTTCAATTGAATAGTTACGTCTTTCCAGGAGAACCACGTCTTTCCAGGAGAAGGCACATATAGAAGTCATTTTCATGCGCTGTGCTGGGAACACTTTATGCAATGGTTAGACAAAGGTATAGTTACGCATATCGGCTGCAACATTCGTCGGAAATTAGTTTCCAAATTAGGTTCCGTAGCTCTTATCGCAAGGCATCAGAGCCTGGTAAGTATCAGGGGGTAAAGGGCTCCTTTGCAAGGATGTATTTATAAAGCCTACATGACACAAGATGATTTATACTTGACTCAATGTTTAAAACTGTATACGTAAAACCATTTGATTTCACAATTTAGTTTTTCACGTTTTATTTCTGCATTTTGGAATCCCCATCTGTGAGGCAAATAAGCAATTGTTAGAGTTGCTATTATGTGTCTTGTCCTTTTATGTTGTTCAATTAAAAAGGCACCCCCTGTTGGAACATAAAATTCACAATGAACAGGCATAGCCTTAAAATAAAATCGTTCGATTGTTAATATTAATAGGCATCCAGATGTAAACTAGGCTATGGGCTTACTTGTAAGGTATTTAGGCAGCTTGACGGCTATAGCGCCCAATGAAATACAACAGAGCAGAATTAATGACAACCCTCGTAAAAGCCTCTATCTACTTGCACAGCGTTAGCAGTATGTTATGTAGCGGATGCCACAATTGCAATGTATAATCTATGAATATATAAATGAAAACTAAAGTGAACATTCTTTTCATTTGAAAGCCAGCAGCACAGCCATCTATAAATTATAGGATATGCTGAAAAATGCCGTAAGAAGTTCACCCGCCTGGTATTCCATATGCCTACCCATGAAACTATTCTTTAATTTAAGAATGGCGTTTATCATTTCTGTATCTTATTACATTGATGTATTTCCATCTATTGTCATGTTGACAAACGTGTGCTATTAAGCCTGAAATGGGTTCGCATTTGTCGAAAACTCAGGTATTTAGATTCAAAGGTAACGATCAACTCTAGCCTGACGAGATTGAAGATAATGTTCGTTAATATTGTATACTAAAAAAAAAATCGATAACAATGTCTATAAAATAATAATCCAACAAAAACATTAATATTGGTGAAAAAACGTCAACAGTGTGTTATCAGAAAAGTTCATAGGAGTGTGCTCAGGCAGAAAATGGTCTTGTCATAAATGGCCATATATTTACCTCTAATCTTAGATACGTGCAATTCACCATATCCAGGGCATGCCACAGGTATATACGTCATGGAGGTTCACAAATGGCTTTGAGTTACACACTGACGTTGGGGGCATCGGTTAATGTTAATAAATGATGTAACGTGAGGAGGTATTTTCGCAAATGGCTTGTCTAAAGCCCGTTTTAAAAACTTGTCTACTACTGTAACACAACGTGTTGAGCTGGACGTGATGCCACAAAAAGCAACTTCATTGCCTACATGTACAGTCTTTTAAACGTTATTATGGGTTTAGTGACGCGTTGTACTGCTATTATAATTTAAAAAAATGACATTACCCCTACAGAGCTTGAAAAAAAGAATATGTGCACATGTATTTTAATGACTTTAGTTTCCAAGACATTTACGGTTGCTATTGTCAGTTGTTTAGTGTAACACTTAGCTGTAAATGTGCAACGGTACAACACTAACACACAGTATAGTCTTTTTCCTGCTTCGCCCTAATACATCAATCTGTACGTCATAGTCTTTTATTGTACATAGCGATCAATTAATTCTACTCCATTACGGAGAATTGGTATAAGTACCACAGAAAAGCTGCTTCATTTACTGTGCATAATCACTTTTTCATCGTTTTGTGCTCTTCCATAACCCATTATCTGTGCTGTCTACCATACTGATACATGTGAGAAGAATACTTCTGTAGAATGCAAAACTTCGAAATTCAACTGGATGAACGTGCCAGACGTGGTGCATAGCCCATTGTAGTTCTGGCGTCCCTTCTGTGACTGTAGAATCATTGACTGGAGAACAACACGACACAACATTACTCCTGCCGTTCATTTTACACACTAGTGACAATGGCAATCTATTGCTACGCTCTATCGATAAATATGCCACATCTATTGCATGCATGCTGTACTGATCACTTGACTAGAAAAAACGTTCCTGCATATTTACATTGAACACTAATATATAAACTGTTGATAAGATCTACACCGAGGATACACTTGCCAAACAAATTGTATATCATGTGAATATATGTCAAAAAAGACACACTGTATGTATAGACAATATGCTCTCATATATCAGGTCTTTTTGTATACGCATGCATTTCTCTAAGACATTGGCAATTGTTTAAAATGCAGTCGAATCACAAGCATTCATGCTATGCTTTTCCATTCAATGAAATTAAAAGACAAACCTCATCATGACATGCATTTTTGGCCTTTCCTACATTTTACGCTGCATATTCTGCAGAATCATTAAACACAACTATCTACAGCCATTTAACGTACGGCTTATAGACCGTATACGTTTATTATGATGAAATGTCCGAGATATTAGTATCGAACGTTTTCAATTGACTTATGCTACGACAGAACGACCATAAATTACAAAGCACAGTGTAGCTGAAAGGTCAATGACAACCTCGGCAACAGTCAATGTGAACACGTGTATAAATAGACCTACGTAATATGTTATTAGATGCTTTTCTTTAATGATGATTGCAGTATAGCTAAGGTCATGTCTACGAAAGTTCGCCTTAGTTCAATCACATTGCAGTGCCCTGCCTTGTCTCGCTTGCAGGACCTAGCACACACAAAAAAATCGAAGTAAGATTATGGAGGTCAACAGGTCAATAGTCAGCGCCGTCCTTCTAGCACAGCTGCGACATTCATGAACGATGTCAGTCAAGCGTTGTCATTGGATTCCAGACGGCCACAGCTGTAACGTCCGAGAAGGCTGTCCATCAACCCATGTCATTGGATGCCGGGGAGCCCAAGGGGGCGGCCTGCAAAATCAAATTGAACGCCGTTAGTCCTTCAAAGCCAATAAGTCTGTAGCGACACGTTTATTGCAAACTGTATCTGCCTGAGGGCGGACTTAACACGCATTCCAGATGGTAAGACGGGTTGATCTTTGATTGCTCCCAGACAAGGATGTTTTTACCCCTTTTTATCTCCCAGTTTATCTCGGTATCTCGTTGATGCTTCAATGAGCATTTTACGCAGCATGAAAGCAATAGAAGAGGCTCAGAAACCCAGTCAATTTTCCTCAATGACTAATTTAATGGAGACGGTTTTAGGTGACCCTGTATAGAACAGCTTCTTTTTTCAACAGAGTATGGGAGGTTGGTGATAAAGAAAAAAAATGTCCTATATTAGTTTTTCTATATTAGTTTTTCATCTGATATACTTCCTCATAGAGCCTTAATGCATTTTTACATAAGAACTTCATATGCCCTGATGAGCACCTTCGTGAATATTGTATGTTGGTTGTCTTAATATCTTTCCTTGGTTGATCTTACAAAAGCTTCCAAGAATTACTAGACTGAGTCATTATAAACGTAATGTACTCTTCGATGAGTTGATTCCACCCACTATTGACGTACGTAGCACGGTCTCCTCGACAGACAATACAAATGCACATTAAATAGGCCTCCACTGGCGGGCAGCACATTCAAATCCTCGACAGGAGATTGCGGAATAACAATGCACTTTATCTTCTAAACTTCCAGCTCTGACTCTTTGTTGGTGTTTCTGGAGATAATGATCACTTGTACTAAATGAAGTGCTGGGAAATCCACCCCACCTCAACCAAAATCAATATACACACAGTCTCTGACCTACCCGGTTCAAATGCCTCGTTACTAGAATGATTACGAAAGAGGTATCGGTTTTCCAAGTGCGCGGTTCGTCTGTCTTTATGTGCAGGCTGTTCGGGCGGCGTAAGCTGTGTTGTAAACTATATTTCAGGTGAAAAATAGGCAAATTGGCGCCTCCATTTGTCATGAGCACTTTGTTGCGACGGTGGTTCTCTCTCTCAAATCCCCATCTAAGTCATCATCTTTCTCAGGATTTGTTCAAATGGAAACGGCTTTAGATATGAGCAGGACTGCGTGAATAGCTCTGTCTGCATGCGATTGTCAAGTTTAACTTTTTTTTTCGTTTGCAACAGAATGGAATACCTACCCGCTCAACACCACTGTTGGACGAGATATCGAGGATAACATCACCGGGCTGATTGCGCTGCTCTACTGTCGAGTACGGCGGAAGGGACGTGGAGTGAACCAACCCTGCATTGTCGAGTTGTGATAAAAAGGTCATCACTGCATCATAGGTTCAAAGTGAAGTTTTGAATGCAAATGACATACATGCATCAGGCGACCTTGTTAACAGTCTGTACAGTAGGGAAATATACCCGCCCAGAAAGAACAATGGATACCTATGATTGCACGTCGAAGACGCATAGCCATTGCGCTTGGATATTACTCTTCCCTCGAGCTATTATTCGGAATTGAATATCCTGGGCTTTAGTGTGGTTAGTCGATCGATGTGCACATCCACTACCCAACCGTATCCGAGAAGTTCGTGTTTCAATCTTTGACTGATACAAACTTGAATAAAAAAGAAAATACTCGTAAATGCGAAAGGAATGTATATGATCAATTTAAAATATTTTGAAAAAATGAGTGAAAGCATAAACATTAAGAACCATCTGCTACAGAGCCAGTAGAAAAAACACAATACTTGGGACGTAAATGAAGAAAGATAAAGCAAAAGAATTAGATTAAATAAACCCTACCTGTGTAGGATAGTCCCACCATTTCCCACTTCTTCTCCATCCGTGGCGGAGGACGTGGTTTGAGTGTACCGTACATCTCCTGTAGCTCCTGTAGGTCCTCCACACCGGAGTCAATGGTGCCGGTCTTGTACACGTACTTTGGCACAGGTGGCATCGGGCGAGGTACTGAGATACCAAGGAGATCATTACAAACGTACGTCAGTATCCAACATGTACATATATGATTAAGTCCGTAAGTGCACTTACAGTTTTATTTGTTCAAATCATCAACATCATAATTCGGTTTGGTACGTTTGATAAGAGGAATAATTACTAAGTATAAAACCGATTGCTTTTAATTCTACCTTATGCTGAAGTCACAATTCTAATCCGAGACCCGGCCGGGCTGTTTGAATAATTGAAAATTAAAAAAAAAGGGAATGCCAAGAATATCATGATTATCTTTTGTGTGTTTTGTTGCCTTTCATATTATACTTCGAAATTACCCTAGCATTAGATTCCTCATTGTTCTGCCTCTTGTAAACTTGCATTGGTACATCGATTATGAAAAAGGCAGCATCACAACCACACAATTCATAATGATTTACCATCTTGGTGAGATTTGCATATGCATCCCTTTCTCTTTGCTATCAGGACCACAACAGCTACCACTGTCAACAGTAAGACGGCTCCGGCAATGATGGAAGTTATGACAACGATGTCAGGGAAAGTCTCTGCAGAAGAAAAGGGACATTTGAATTACGTTGAGTTTCCATAGAACACCATAAATCATGAGACTAGCTATAGGATCTTGGATGTAGAAAGCCGGTTTGATATTGTATGCTTCGAAAAATGTTTGTGGTATCTCTATGAAGGTTTTAAAGAGCTAGATATATGTTTAATAAGAAATATTGATTGATGTTACCAGATATCTGAAGATGGATATTTCGCTTGACGGATCCAAACATGTTCGTTGCCTTGCAGACGTAGTTACCACTATTCTTCACGGCAGCATCCGATACGACCAGGGATGATGTTATCTGTTGTTTTCGTCTTATTGTAACAATCTGACTGGAGCCAGTTGACAGCATTACTTCCACACCGTCATTATTTCTCCACATCCATGTGATGTCGTGTGGCAGTGGGTCGGCCATGACAGTACAACTTAGCCGAACTGTTTCTCCTCCAACTGCAGTCATCGTGGCCGTGTCTCCGTCTCCCTCAAGATTTGGCTTTCCTGGAAACAAAATCCATTAAAGTGAACATGTAATCCTATTGATCATGACCTCCGGTACAATCTATTAATCATATTATGTTTGACATTAAAACGGTTTACAAATTATTTGACATTAGTGCTTTATTGGAAAGCGATTTTCCTTGTGACGCATCGGATTTTATTTGTTTGCCTGAATAATGTGTAGTTTTTTTTTTGCCTGGTAGAATGTAATAATGTCTTGTCTTGTTTCCTCATAGAAAATTAGCTCCTATAAGCTGAATGAGTTTTATGGCAAAATAAATGAATTAATACAGAACCGAAGCAATATAACGAAAATTCGATACTCTCTAAAATATGCAAAAGGATATTTAAATTTGTAAAGTTCTAACGGAGAGTATATGAAAATTCTATTTAGCGGATTATATAATATAAACTAACCTACTACATCGATGAAAACATCCTTTGTCCTTTGGGTGAACCCATCGCTTGTTGCGACACATTGATATGTCCCCTCTATGTCGTAACGCACTAAGCTGAATTGCAGTGGGTTTTTCCAGTACAACTTTGTATCCTTCCGCCGCCACTTGACTTGAGGTTTCGGGTTTCCCTCTACAACGCAATCCAAGGAAAAGTCTTCATCACCTTGAAGAATGGAAATCCTTTCGTCCATAGAAGGGTCAATCTGTGGTGGGTCTGTCAGGCAGAGAATTTTTGTCATATCGTCAACCTGATAGGTATAACCTTTCCCTCTACAAAAGTTTAAAATTACCAGATTTTGACTTACTGCCAATGTCAAGTGTGATGATGTTTTACTAGCGTTTACTGTCGGTGTAAATCTTGCTTGGAATTCACGAATTGCTCATACAGATACAACATTTGAGGTGCATGGATGACTGTGGTTATACTTTATTTGCAAATTTGACAGTAAGAGATGTGTAGTGCTAGTCAGAAAAGACATTGGAAGTGCTTCATCCGAAGGCAAAATGGCCATTTTGTGCTATCTAGTAGTCACAGGGGACAGAAGCTGTTGCCATAACCTTTTCACAGTACAACGATGCAGTTGATCGATGCAAGCTGCCATTTGGTAGGGACATTACTTAGATGCGTAATTGAAGTTGAACCATAAGTGTTGCTAAAGCACACTCACACATAACCTCTAAAGTGACGGTCCCAACACCTATGGGAGGCAGGCCATTTTCTGCGGAGCATTGGTAAGTCCCTGCGTCCTGGCGGGATGCGCTGGAGATGTGGAAAGTTTGCTCCCTGAGGAAGGGAAAAATAGTCGTGGGGTTAGTCTGACCTGAAACAAAATTAATGATGATGGCAAGCTGCTTTAGGATTCGCCATACTTTAGGCGCAGTGTCAAAAGACGGTAAGTGACATGGCATTCCATCTGGTAGCGATTGCTCTTTGATTACTCCCAGTCAAGTTTTACGTTTTACCATCAAACCATACCATCCACTAAATGTCTAACCGACTGTCGTTTTGACAAAACACATTTACTTTTCTTCTTGGTAGAAAACTCTACCGTTATAGGAATGGGAATTCGATGATTTGTGTCGTTTCTACCTGGTGTTGCCTCTTAGGAAACTGTTATGCCCAAGCTTCGTCCATCTAATCATCGCAGAAGGGTTGCTGTCGACAAGGCAGGTGAGGTTTGTGGGCTGTCCCTCTATAACGTGTACGGATGTTCTAGGAACAGATATACTTGGGTGATCTGCATAGAAAAAGAGATTATCAAAATTTATACTCAGATGGTCACGTATGATTTACCATCAATGTTCCAATCATGAATTGCAGCAATCTAGATGTAGGACAACAAGCTATAATACATCGTGTATAGACAAATTCGATTTGGAATGTGAATGTATAATACTTTTCATTCAAAGCCTGAACTAGAGTTATTATTCGCAGCGATTTAATTCCACGGTGTGGACAAAGAGTATTACTTCATCGATACTAAAACTGTGTTTTTATCTTTCAATAAACGTAACGTTCCCATTGTATTCCTTCCTTAGCAATATTGTCCTGTCATTGACTTACAGTGCACGTTGAGAGTACCCCAGGACTCTTGCACAGAGGTAATTTCAGGAAACGGCTGTCTGGCTCTGCAGGTCAGGTTCATGCCGTTGTCCCTCTTGGTCAGTAGAGGAATGATAAGATCAGCTTCTACTTGACCTTCACGCTCCTGATGTCTCACTTCATGTTCACTGAAAGCCCTTGTGTCGTTGTACCAGGTGAGCTCAGGTGGAGGATGCCCCCCAGAGGATGAACATCGCAGCACAAGCTCTTGGCCAACTCTACTTGGCAGCTCCATACCAGTCATTTGTGGAGGTCGGGGGACTGGAACTAGTCATTCATTTTGTTAGCTAAATGCAGACGATAAACTAGAAGATTGAAATCTCTAACAACATACAAAAGGCGTAATGTCAATGCTGAATCGAAAGGTTGAATCTATCTTGCCGTAGGTTCTTTTATTGCTCATGGATAAATTTGGAGTATATTATCTTAATATTACAAATCACGATCAGGTAATCTCTAGAATTAGGACAGCTTATATGTTACGAATAAAAGGTCTTACCCACTACAGTTAGCTTGGCTTCCTTGGGAGCAAGGCCCAAGACTGTACATTTGTACATCCCTTCATCTTGCCGTTGGACGTCTAGTATTTGGAGATAATACTGCCCACTAGATGGGTCACCAACCAACTAGAGAAGAAAATAAGATGAACTGGTCCTTGAGATAAAACGAAAGCGGGAGGCATAAATGAAAGCTGATGAAAAATATGTATTGGTTGTTCTATTGTATTTATACGAAATAAATGTCATGCTGGAGATAAGATTTGTACCTGATGGCGAGGGTAGTTTGGGTCTACTCTCCTTCCGGACGTTATAGTTCTGAGGCCAGGTGGCCCATCCCATCTAACAACATCCTCTGGCGACAAGTCATGGAAGCTGCAGTGCAGGGTCGCTGTATCGCCCATTAGGACAGCGGTGGGCAACGGAACTGCATCGTAGCTGAGACCACTGACTGCAACAAAAGGCTATAAAGCTTACACGTTTTCTTCTGTAGGTATATGTCCATGCCCATGTATTCGTTACAAGCAGATGTTCGCAAAGAAATGTCGTATAACAATAATTCATAATGTATGTGCTGATAGAAAAGGTATGGTCTCTAAAGCCCAAGATCGTCTACCATATTCCTCCTTGTAAAATATGTTAACCATAACATTTTACGTTGCAAATACTAATAAAATGATGTATTGATCAGTTTGTTGGATTGTAAATGAAATGCAGAGTCCTCCCCTGTAAAACGATCGCTAGGAATTCAGATGGCAGCGGACCATATCTTGTCATCCTAACATATTAAGCAGGATATAATTCATGATCCGTCCTGTCTAGGCTGTTGGTAGCTATGTATACACCATATTTACGTTTTACGGGCCAGAAAACAAAATGCTAAGATAGATCACCGCGTATTCTTCGATAATCTGCCAGTCGGCTGCACAACGATTCATATGTATCTAGGTCAAGGCTAAACGTGCGTTCAACGACTCCTCCGCACTTCACTGGCGAGGCAAGGGCCCCATAACGCATAACGCAAGAAGGTATTTGCGAAAGACAAAAACAAACAACATAACCAGCTTTGTATCTTCAAGTCTGATAGAGATACAACTAATGGTATCTCCGATTCCAGAGATCTAGTCGGCACTAACATTTGTACATAATGGCAGGTTTACCTTTAAGGAGTACGGTTAATTTTAACTTAAACCTACTAATTATGTCCTTCAAAATGGGAATGCTACAGAAGGCAGCTATACTGAATTAGCAAGGGTTTGCTACTGAATGTCGCATACTTGTTTCTTTTTTGGACATGGAATAAACTAGCAAATCCCAGTTAACTGCCAGACGTCAAATCTATCATACAGGTGATTGATAGTGCTTTTTGATCTAAGATGCTATCTCCCCAGGAGTATTCGTCAGTCCCTTTAGTGGTCCACACACCAAAGAGGCTCGGTATCTAAAGATTGTAGAGATAACGTAGCGGATCAGAATGACTGAGAGTTTTTATTAGACATATGTATCCTCAGGCGTTTGGGCCTTTTTGATAAAGATTGTGTTTTCGACCGTCACACTCGTGCAATTTGGCTTGATATTTAACCCTAGCAGCCTCTCAAATTTAATGTGTATTGCTATACATATATATGTACGCTGGACACCAGTTCCGTATGACATTTGTAACTGTCTTCTTACTAATTTTACCAAGAATGTCTGTCTCAAAGAGCATTGTATGCGGTGCTAACCTTCATACATGTATGTATTCAATGATATACGTTTTCGCAAATTTAACACCTGAAAACAGCCCAGGTGACATGTAACCATATACCGTCCTAGTTTTTGCAGCCTTAACAAGATCTCTATCTTCAGCAGCTTTTAAGTACTGTGCCACAGATACACGGCTATGGCAGAAGTCTGTAAAGATCAGATTAGGTCTGCCGCAACATATTTTCCCCAGCCTCATATTGGTGGATAACGAGTGTAGCTCTGACGATGTGCACCGACAACGCTTCTCAACTGGGAAATAAAGTCAAAGAAAACTCCTGACACCGGGGTCAGCGATGTTGACTATATGAAAGCATCATTAAGATATTGATTTGGTCATTCATAAAACATGGATTATAGACATTTCTACGCATGCAGTTTTCTAGGTAAAACGCCAATGAATTGCTGTGTATAACGATTGAAGAAATAAAAGGATATATAAGTATTTATAACTGTTTACGTGCATGATTAATACTTTTCAACACTAATTCTAACTAATGTGTGCTGTAAGGGTTATCATCAAGAAACTGCAAGTCTTAAAACCGAGTAAAGCTCATATCTACTCCTCATGCTGGAACTAAAGCTTTCCTCCCAAGACTCCGTCAAAGACGTAAGCGTCTTCAAACACTATAGGAATACTAATTGTGTCATTGACAAAATGACCCGATTTCACTTACAGGAGAGCCGCTTACCAGAGGAGCGGAAGTCGTTGTAGATGAAGCAACGCTTTGATGTAAATGTCACTGTAAATGATAACCATCTCCTAGTTGGGTCATACATAATGAAACTGATGCCTTGTACATATAAACCAGTCTTGTCCGTAAAAAATCTCTGAACAATACAGGTCTCCAAACTGTTTTATCAAAAGTAATTAAAGTTCTTATCACTTCCATTCATTACTAATTTGCCATATGCTGCTGTTTTGCAACAAGGCATACTATGCGATAATCTAATAATTCATATAAAATTGTTAGGCATAGAACGTTTATTTCGTTAAATATAAACGTTTAACTAAATGCCAATCATCATAGTTTTGGTTACATTCAATTGCATGCACTAATTTCATTTAGATAATGTATTTAGACAGCAGCCCATGTGTTACGGCCAAGATCAATCCCAGTTACTTGTTCAATATCGCAAATACGTAAGTGGTGTCAAGTAGTATATAGTCGACACGCTGCTATCATTTATTCAGGCGGTGCAGGCGGTGCGAGGCGGTGCGGGTCAGAGGTCACCGTCATTATGCTAAGGATATGCAGATTTATGTTAAGGATATGCAGATGCGTGCAGGAATGTAGCTAATGAGCTAAATTACAGGTCAGATAAAGGTCAGTGTGCACTTTTGAACCCGGTTACCTGGGTAACCTGTCGTGGGCGTGGTTAACGTCAACGTCTGTGGTAGCTGATTGGCCGCATGGCAAGCGTTGGTGACTTGCTCTGAGGATCCGGAGTAGTCGATTGGTTTGCATGTACTTTGCATGTAAACTAGGTGACGTACTTCACGGCGATTGGTGGACGGTCTGTGGGTGTCTGTCAGAAAAGTGTATAAAGTGGCAACAGAAACCGGCGAGAAACCAGTCCCACTTGCGGAGACAAACCTTTCGTACAAATCCGTCGACAGCGAGTGAAGATCGAGACAAAAAAGCCATGGCGTATCAGCAGAAGAAGCAGCAGCAGAAGCACAAGTCTTCACTGGTGTGTGTATGTATGTGTATGTATGCGTGTGTATACATATATCGATATAAACGTGTTGCTCCGGAGTAAAACATTACTCCGGAGTAAGTATGTTTCGAGTAAGATATTACTCCGGAGTAACTATTACTCCGTTTTGGAGTACAATTTTTACTCCGGAGTAAGTGTATTTGTAGCAAGTACGTATATTTGTCATGGCTGTCAGTATCGTGTATCCTCACATGCATGATGTGTATAAATATGCATATGCATAACCGTCGGAGTATATGATTACTCCGGAGTAAGTGAGCTAGTGGTGAATAACATTTTTTTGTTTGAACCCGGCTACCTGTGTTACCTGTCGTCCAGGCAACGCTCCATGAAAGATTTATGCATATTTATGCTAGGATTTTAGTTAATGAGTTAAATAATGAGAGTCATCAATCGGTTTAATTGTATTCATACTTCTGATGCGTGCATAATTAAGAACAGTATTGAGAAATATGATTGACATATATCGATTGGCCGGTAATGTATGCATAATTGGGGGTGGACGGAACCATTTTGATGAACGGAAAAATTGGGTGTGATATCCCGCGAAAGGGTTTGTAGGGTTTTATGGGGTGTATTTGGTTATCGGTTTTATTGATTATTAATTCATAAGAGTCAATGCTTTATGATCACTTTCATGACCCGATTGTTATCATTGAATATGGACGGAACCATTGGATGTGATATCCGGCGAAAGTGACTGATGAGTGACTCATTTGCTTTGTATATATGCACATGTATACATATGTTCCCATCACACATACGTGTATGTATGTGTCTATATATACACATATCGATATAAACGTGTTGCTCCGGAGTAAAATATTACTCCGGAGTAAGTATTTTGGAGTAAGATATTACTCCGGAGTAACTATATTACTCCGGAGTAACTATTGCTCCGTTTTTTTAGTAAAACTTTTACTCCGGAGTAAGTTTATTTGTAGCAAGTAGCAGGTATATTTGTCATGGATGTCCGTATCGTGTATCCTCACATGTATGATGTGTAGATATATCGTATATTATGCATATACCTAACCGTCGGAGTGGGCGCGCGCGCGCGTGTGTGTCTCTGTGTGTGCATCTACATATACATATATCGATATAAACGTGTTGATGAACGGAAGTATTTTTGGAGTAAAATATTACTCCGGAGTAACTATTACTCCGTTTTGGAGTAAAAATATTACTCCGGAGTAAGTTCATTTGTAGCAAGTTAAGTATATTCGGCATGGTTGTCCGTATCATGTATTCTCACATGTATGATATCCATGTGTAGATATATCGTATATGCATATACATAACCGTCGGAGTAAATGATTACTCCGGAGTAAGTGAACTAGTGGTTCATATCTATGTCACGTATGTTTGTGTCTCATGCGTGCATACATCGACACAACGACACAAAAGGCAGTAGGGTTCGTCACACTTTATTGATCACTTACAGGTCAAGATTGTTCCGAAAAACTCGCAAGACAGCTTACGTCTTGCCATGTAGGTATCGCTGTTACATTAGGACTAGTTGTCCTATCGGCAGAAGGACGATGCTGTATTATTTCAGAACGAGGTAGCCGTATTTTGTCATCAATTTCTGCTCTGGGACCCAGTTCTTGCTGTACTCGATATTGTAACCGTAACGAGGCATGGCAGCAAACTCTACAAGATAAAACTTTTTGCCAGCGCGTTTTGTCTCTTTGATCACGCATTGAGGGACATCGCCTGGTTCGTGCTTGAGTGGAATGGACCAGTCTCGATAGAGCGTCCACTCTTCCTCGTCACCGCTGTCGTAGCCGTACTCTTCACTTTCATCATAAGAAGCCGTGTTGGAAGAAACGTCCGAGTCTGCATCACTCTCTGAATCACTTTCATCGCTGTCGGTTTCTGTCACTGACTCTGCCTCCTCAGAGTCCACTACAGATTCATCTTCGCCTGAGACGGTTACTTCATCTTGTGACACGGTCGGTTCCTCGTCTTCTTCGTCTTCCTCATCGCTTGATGAATCAAGCGCGTCAGTGTCATGTTCATACGATATGTCGGAGTTGTCGTCAAAAACATCG